GGGAATTCTGGGAGTTGAAGTCCACTCATCTTAAAGTGGCCAAGTTTGGACAACACTGACCTATGGGCTATTTCGGAGCTGTGGGTGAAACATTTGTACCTCAGATGATTAGAAAATTGATGCAAAGGTACACTGCTGGACTTTTAAAAAATGCAGGGAAAAGTATTGTAGGTTGCTCAGGGAACAGAAAAGAATAATTTAAAAAGGTATTGGCAGGGTTTTGAACCAGCAACCTTCTACTTACAATTCAGGTGTTGTAGCCACTGTACTGTTGCAGCGTTCCTGATAAAACTTGCTCAAAATAACATTAGAGATCATGTAACTCAGTTGCACGGGCATTCCTGTCTCTGCGGCGCAGACATTGAATTGCTGGGATTAGCTTGTGGTACACTGAGGCATACAGGAGCACTCAAGAGATAACTCGGAACAGTGTACTTTAGAAGCGGACCACAAAAATGTGCCTAGAAGTTGCCTTGACAGTGAGTGGGGGATTAATAGAAGGCAATGTTGTTCATTTCTGCTCTCCAAAAGCGGTTGCCCATTCTGGTGGTAGGCAGTTAGGTACTAGTGATAAGCCAAGAAAAGGTGAACTCCAACCAAATGACCTCCCTATTTCAAATAAGAGGATACCAGGTTGCTGTCTCACTCATTTGGTATAACATAGTCCTTAGGGCTTAAAATATGTCCTATTCATGTTACTGTAATGACAACTAAAGACATTAGAATATTATCAGTAAGATTTACATTTTCTTTTGTGAAATCTGAATGTCAGTAAAAGCAAAGCACCTGTAGATGCACAGTGATTAAACAAAGTCTTTCTACAATCTCCCCCTTTAGACAGCTATAATTTCTATTGATTTCAAAGGAATTAAATTCAACAAATTTAATCTGAATCCAACCCAGTAACACTTTTCAAGTTTACTGCATGATTTTCAATTTACAATCCAAATACCTCATTAACCCTTGTATTACTTTTATTAAAAAGAAGATGTACAAAAGCAGTGAGATAACCAGAATTCTAGAAGCCTCATTTGAAGTCCTCAGTATAAATATCTTAAGTGACTTTCAGTAGAATTGTGATATAATGTTTTGTTTTTCAGCCTAAAAAAATATCTCTCCCTATAATTTCTTCTCAGCTTTTCAACCTAAATGTTTGATAATTAGATGGAATGCTATGGAATAGAGTAGGTGACACTCTGCTACAAAGGTTAAGGCAGTAAAACATTACCTCAGGTAAAGGAGCCAAATTGGTATTTGCATCCTGCATTAGTGCTTCATTACCACATCAAAGGGACATTCTTTCTTTCAAAGCATTTGCCCTCACAACAGTACACACAAGTGTCAAACAGTCTCCCAAACCATTCAATCAATCACTAAAAATACACCTGCCCTGTGGCACTTGCAAGACAGAGACTGACATGGAAATTGTTTTGGAATTTGGGATAAAAATGTACTGTAAGCTCAAAACAGAGCAACAGTGACGAGTCTTCTGTTAGTCATACTGCCTAGTTATCTTCTCATTTTAATCTTCCCTTTCTCATATCAGAATTTAAGAAGTGGCTTTCTTAATGGGACTTTCTCCTTTCTAATCACGAAGAGACCATTCAGCCCATAATTATTTATTCATTTTTCATTTTAATACATATATTTTGAAATCCTTCAAGAACACTTATCACTTGATTAAAAATCCAGTGAAAAATAAACATTTGAAGTTTCTGAGTTGCCTTCAAAGAGAAGCCTCACAAAGAGCATGCATTTAAACAAGGCATATCTACTTTCCTGAGAAAGGGCTGGAGCAGATATAAAAACAGTAGTCCTGGACATTGCCAAAAAACTGTGCTTTCATAGACAGCAATGAGTCTAGGAGGACTTCTAAACCTCTAACTTTCTCCAATATTTGCAAGAGTTGTTCATTAGCAAGTTGGCCTTCTGCATAGCAATTTGAATACCATAAAAAAGATGAGGTTCTATAGACACTGGCCCAAATATAAACTTAATATTGACCAACAAAAGTTGAATGATTAGAAGCAACACATATACTCTGTAGTATCCCATCACAGTAAAACTTTCCAATATTCTTCTTGGAAAACCCACTGAGACACATGTACAGTAGCCATCATGAATGGAAGACAATGTATAAGCATAAGATTTAAATAACAGCAACATTTCCCCCGGTATTCCAAAGCACATCAAGTCTTAGTAACTTGATTCTGACATCTTATTAAGCAATGGTTTGTTGAGTATGTCACAACTGATGGATTCACAAAATACATTAGGCCACAAATCATAGATTACAAATCAGAGTAATCAAATGTTGCCTAAGCATGAAATATGTTTAGTTTCGATGTACACAATTGTGTAAACCTAGCCAAATGGTTACCAAATCCATCTGGTAAATTAGTGAAAGAGGTAAATGTAAATGGATTTTCTGGCTCAATCTAAAGGGACATACCAAGGAGGAAATTTTTGTTGAACAAGCAGGACTTAATATTTCTATGGTTAGGGTGTTCTATTTTCATTTTGGACTGGATTGTTAATTATCATACCAACTCTTCATTTCACGCTCAGTAATTCAGTGCAATTTTTAATCCAACAAAAGTCAAAATCTATCACTGTATAGCCAATATATATCATTTATGAAGAAGCTAAAAAAGAAAAAGAAATGACTAACATCAGAACATATAGTTTTGTACTTTTGTGTATCTTTTGGTAGTCAAAAGTTATGACCTATTTTCAGTTGTTCACATATGTTTGTTTTCACATAGTGCTGAAACTGTATGAATGAACTGGAAGCCTTCCACTTTTTAAACATAGTTATACCATAGACATAAACCAAGAAAAATAAATCTAAATCCTTAGCAATGTAAACAGAAGGAACAACAGTTCCCCCACTTTCTTCACAACTTCAGTCAATTTGTGCCTCGATAAAAGCTTCTCCAAGATGCAGAACATGATTCACTGAGTCATAATTCCTGAAACAACTTTAAACACTTATTTAGGGAAGATTTTTTAAAACCAAGACTAGACTATCAGAAGCCTTTAAGACACTCTGCACTACAATTTCTATAAACTGTGATAATAGGCCACACTGGCTGGGGCTTACGAAGGTTTATTCCAAAACATTTGGATGGACCTTTACTCCCTAACCATTTTTAGCATCTCAG